TACATACCTTCCAGTTTTGACTGGAGAAGAACTTGGGGTTAGGCAGTTTCCCCGTATGGGCCACCAAAATGATGCGGTTTAGAGCTTTAGGGGTGCTGGAATCCCAAAATCACAACACACTGGTTCTGTCTGAAAGAATTCCACCCAAGCCTTCTTTCAGCCAAAGACAGGGTTTATTCGAACATCCGTCATATTGGGCAGACTCTTAAGAAGTCTGAACATTAGTAAGCTATTGGCTAGATTATAAGAATCTCAGCAGTGGCTAGATTATAAGAATCTGAGCAATGACTAGATTTTAGGAATCAGAACCATAGCTAGATTTTAAGAATCTAAGCCTGTTCATCATTTCTTATAGTACAATAGTGTTCCATTACATTCATAGACAGGATCTCTTCTTGCTCTGGTGCACAGACTCACCCTGCTCTGGGATGCTCCATGTGGTGTACACCTGCCCATATCCCATTTCCTATGTCCACAGAGCACTCTGTTTACTTGTTTCAACTTGGGCTGGAAAAATGACTCAATATGCTTTTTTTTTTTTTGATTTCTTTATCATCATTTGGTCTGCTGTATTTTCTGGATCTTTTTGGAGAAGTTGTAGGGCTGAGTAGGGTGCAGCTCACTGTACTTCTTGCTACCCTGCTGCACTGGCTCAGAGGATGCTTTTCAAAGCGTTCAGATGGAAGATGCTTCTCTTTGTTGATAATGTGCAGATTTTATCAAGCTCCAGAACGATATGGGGGCTCAACAGAGACACGGGATTATTCAAAAGAAATGGGCCTACTGATCCATATGATAAACACTGCATGGACAAGAAATACCTGCTATCCAGACTATGTTATACAATTTGAAGACTAATTTATTGGATTATTCCATCAGCATATATATCTGTGACATGTACTGCAGAGGGACAGTGAGTTGGACCTGGAATTGATGAGGAGGAAGAAAGGGAACTGAATTGCATGTGGGAAATTGCAAAGTGATTAGTAATACCAAGCTACTCCCTAGCACAAAAACGCATTTTAAAAAATATATGCCATCTTGGTTTTGGTGTTTGATTGCGAGTCTTAGAATACCACAATCTCTGCAGGCAACCCAAAGTCAGTAGAGATGCGTGGTGGGTACAAGTAGGTTGTGATCTTGCAAGATGATTTACATGCAGGAAAAGGTGTATCATTCAAGACAAGTATGTTTGTAAAAGAGGGTGGGCCAGTGGTGGTGAGAGCAAGGGGCAAGAGATGGACAACCTGAGAGGAAGACAGACTTTTAGCACGTGAACAAGAACCACACAGGATGAGGTGTGGGTGGGCTGTGATCTGTGTTGTTGGAGCCCATTCAAGACAGTTATTAATGCCAGACTCTCATTGTTTTGCCATTTGTCACACTTAGAGGATGTATACGCCCCATCCCTAATTTGGTGATGTGTATACAGGTTCTGTATTTCCACCTATGCATGCCCTTCTAATCTCCAGACCTGCCTCTCCAACCACCTAATACCCATCATCCTTTGGATGTTTCACTGACATCTTAAATCTAGTGAGCTCATTATCTTTACCCATAAACCAGCTTTTTTTTTTTTAATTCCGACCGTTTATTCTGTTTTCCACGTTTGAAATCTTGGGGCTTCTATTTTTATTATTTTTCTATTTTATTTTTAAAAAGCTAATCATTTATCAAGTTCTATCAGAGGCAGTTAGTTGGCTCAGTGGGTAGAGCAATATGCCTGAAGTCAGCAAGACTTGAGTTCTAATCCTGCCTCAGATACTTACTAGCTAATGTGACCCTGGACAAGTCACTTAACTGCTTCGGTCTGCCCCAGTTTCCTTATTTGTAAAATGGGCCTATTAATACCACCTACTTCTCTGGGTTCTTATGAGGATAGAATGAGATAAGATTCATAAAGCACTTTGCAAACCTTAAAGTGCTACATAAATGTTAGTTGTTCTTGTTAATCTTCCTCATGCACAGATTTGATTATGTTATTCCTCGCTTCAAAAATCTTCTTCAGTGACTTCTTATTGCCTACTGACTGAAGTTCAGATCCCTGCTTGGCATTTAAGGACGCCCCCCAATTTAGGACTGCCCTACCTTGTGTCATTACTCCCTTCTACACACACACACACACACACACACACACACACACACACACACACACACACACA